AAACGGAGTCTCGCCCTGTCACTCAGGCTTGAGTGCAGTGGCGCAATCTTGGCTCACTGCAACCTCCGCCTCCCTGGTTCAAGTGATTCTTCTGCCTCAGTCTCCTAAGTAGCTGGGACTACAGACACACACCACCACACTTGCTAATTTTTGTATTTTTAGTAGAGACGGAGTTTCACCAGATTGGTCATACTGGTCTCAAACTCCTGACCTCATGATCCGCCCACCTCAGCCTCCCAAAGTGCTGGGATTATAGGCATGAGCCTCCACGCCTGGCTTTTTTTTTTTTTTTTTAAAACACTAGCATCTGAAACTATTGCCTAGTTTTTGTTTTCTTTTTTTTCTTTTTTTTTTTTTCTTTTTTTGGAGACAGTTTCACTCTTTTCACCCAGACTGGAGTACAGTGGTGTCATCTTGGCTCACCACAGTCTCCGCCTCCCGGGTTCAAACAATTCTCCTGCCTCAGCCTCACGAGTAGCTGGGATTACAGGTACCTGCCACTATGCCCAGCTAATTTTTGTATTATTAGTAGAGACAGGGTTTTATCATGTTGGCCAGGCTGGTCTTGAACACCTGACCTCAGGTGATCTGCCTGCCTCGGCCTCCCAAAGTGCTGGGATTACAGGCATGAGCACCGAACCCAGCTATTTTTTTTAAATAATAAAAAAATAATAACTGCCTTGGGGCTGGACATGGTGGGTCACGCCTGTGGTCCCAGCACTTTGGGAGGCCAAGGCAGGCAGATCACAAGGTCAGGAGTTCGAGACCAGCCTGGCCAACATGGTGAAACGCCACCTCTACTAAATATACAAAAATTAGTCAGCCATGGTGGCACATGCCTATAATCCCAGCTGCTCGGGAGGCTGAGGCAGGAGAATCACTTGAACCTGGGAGGCAGAGGTTGCAGTGAGCCAAGATTGCGCCATTGCACTCCAGCCTGGGCAACAAAAGCCAGATTCTGTCTCAAAAAAAAAAACAAAAAACTTGCCTTATTTATCTTATTTATTACTGCATCTACTAAAATTGCCAACACAGGTTCTCATATAAGGTAAGTGTTCCAATAAATTAATTAAATGAGTACATGAAGGGTGTAAGGAATAGGAGTAAAAGTGTGACAAGAAACAGAGATTAGAGAAGGAAGAACAAGAGACAGAAAATGACAGAGGGGTTTGGGTTGAAGTGACTTAGTGATGAGGTAGAGATAGCACTAGATAAGCAAAGTGACCCAGGAGGTACCTCATTAGAGCAAGAAGGATGAGTGAGGTGGCAAAGAAGAAAAATCAATGCCCCAGTGACACCAGATGTAGGAAGTGATGGTGCAGGGGCAGGACACAGGTGGCCCAGGCCCACTATCTGTGGGCGTGTGGAGCAGGGAGGAGTGGGCTGATTTAATGGGGTTGAGTCTGCAGGGTGGTAGGCACACACAGACCTGCTTCCCTACAGCCTGAATACATTGCCCTGGAGTCACTGAGCCAGGACTATGGCTTTGAGCTGCTGGGCATGTGCCAGAACCAGATCGAGGTCACTGCAGTGCTCAACGACCTGGGTGAGGACAGCGAGACTGAGCCTGAGACTGAGGGCCCGAGCCTGGCCTTTGAGGAAGGCATCCCCAACCTGGCAAGGCTGCGACTGGCCATCAACTACAACCAGAAGCGGGTCAGCTGGGCCCTACCTATATCCCCTCCTTGTCCTTTTCTCTTGCCCTGCTACCTCTAGGTCTCCCTGACCCAGCCCTAAGCAATTCCTTTACCTGCCCTCAAGACCCTCTCAGGCCTTGGTCCTGAGCACCCTTCTCTCTAGGCCCTTGACCCTGTGGGTCCCCTCCCTTCTTACCTTCAGTCTAAGCCCCTAATCTCTCCCCAGCCCTTGGAAGACCCATTACCCACCAAGACCTCACCTTCAGACCAGGACATCTGGTCATAGACAGCTTTGCCTCTGACCTGCTGAATGACCTCAATCCAGTCTTTTTCTGTTGTTCCACTTCACTACATCACTCTATAAAGCAAGATAAGACTAGATCTCTCAGACCTTAAATATTCCCAGAAGTCTCTATTATTCCCTGTCTCCTCAGACATCCTTCCCTCTAAGCTAAAGACAGGCTCCTTTTCTAGCCTCCCCAATCCCCTTGCTCCTCACTTTCATCCACCCTCAGACATCCTACTACTCCACCAGGAACTTAACCAAAAACTTTCCTTCATAATGGCTCCCCTGGCCCTGTCCCCCAATACAGCAAACCCCAGTTTCCCTCTTCTGCCCTCCTCAAGACCATCCAGGCTGATGTCTCACATCTCTAAGAAGGCAGGGGACCCTGGGGGTTCTGGGTCTTGGGTACCCATTTCTACCCACCACTGTCTAACAAGAATGTGGGTCCAGAGAGTTCAGGAATATCTTTGATTTCAGTTTCCCCTCCACAGACCAAGGCCTAGAGAGGGATGGGTCTGCCCATGGTCACATGACAAGTGAGTTGGCTGGTATGGGGAGAAAAGGATGGTTCGATCTCTGTGGCAGGGAAGGAAGGGCTGAGTTCCTTACTGGCTCCCCCATCCTCCTCCCTTCCTGGTGGCCTCCCCCTCTGCTTATGCCTCATCTCTGCTTAGTTTGTAGCACACCCCATCTGCCAACAAGTCCTTTCCTCCATCTGGTGTGGGAACCTGGCTGGCTGGCGTGGAAGCACCACCATCTGGAAGCTCTTTGTTGCCTTTCTCATCTTCCTCACCATGCCCTTTCTCTGCCTTGGCTACTGGCTGGCACCAAAGTCCCGGGTACTAAGTATAAGATTAATGATAACTGTTACTTATTAAGCACTTGTTTTATGAGGCTCTGGGCTGGACACTTGGTGAATATAACTTTGTGAATGTTTTCATTAAGTAGCTGGAAGTGTGGCCCTGAGGAAGGCAGATATTCTGCTTCAGTGGTGCAGGGGAGCAACCTGAGGCACAGGAAAGGCAATGCTCTCTTTGTCAAAAGCACAGAGGAAATAGTGAAGTCAGGATTTAAACCAAAGTCTCTCTACCTCCAAAACCTTAATCCTATTAACAGCCCTATCCTCTCCTAAAGAGAGTTCCACTCCAACCACAAATTCTTTGGGAGCCCTTTATCCAACCAATAGGTCCTTGAGACTCAACTATGAGCCAAGCATGGTGCCTGGCACTGGGGCTATCGTGAAGAAAAGCCCTGTTCCTGCTGAGCAAGTGAGGAATGGGGAGAGGGCTGTTCCAGGAAGCAGGAGCAGTACATGTGGAGGCCTGGGGGAGGGAGAACTCAAAGTGTTAGAGAACCTGAGAGGAATTAGATAAGAATGGTACAGACGTGTACAGGGCCAGATCACACAGAGCCTTATAAGCCATGGAGGATGGAAGCCATTGTAGGATTACTGAGGTGTGTCCCCCATCAGTCTTGTGTTTCAAAAGTGCCCTCTGCTAGGGGCGTGAAAGGCAGGCTGGGAGCATGGGGACAGGAGTTAGGGAGACTGAGTGTGTGAGAGGACAAGCATGTCGAGCTGCCTCATATTCCTGGCCTGGGCGAGCGGTCATTTCATGAGGTGGGGACACAGGAGAAGGAGGAGCAAGATGGGATAGAAGCATTTGTTTTCTTATGTGGTTGAGTTTGAAGAGCCTGTGGGGCCTCCAAGGGAAAGTTACTTTACCTCTGTGATCCTCAGTTCTTGGAAAAAAAAAAAAAAAAAAGGCCGGGCATGGTGGCTCATGCCTGTAATCCCACACTTTGGGAGGCCAAGGTGGGCAAATCACCAGATCAGGAGTTAGAGACCAGCCTGGTCAACATGGTGAAACCCGGTTCTCTACTAAAAATGCAAAAAATTAGCCGGGCATGGTGGCGTGTACCTGTAATCCCAGCTACTTGGGAGGCTGTGGTGGGAGAATTGTTTGAACCCAGGAGGCGAATGTTGCAGTGAGCCAAGATCACGCCACTGCCTCCAGCCCAGGCAACAGTGCAAGACTCCGCCTCAAAAAAAAAAAGAAAAGAAAAAAAGGGAATAATAATGCCTACCTCATAAGGTTGGGAAGGAGACAATAGATATGAGTCTAGGGCCTGATATGTAGCACATTCTCAAGATATGTCTGAATAATGCGTGAATGAATCTGAGCAAGGGGAGTCACATGTGGGCTGAGCAGTCTAGAAGGACTCGCTGGAGGGAAAGTCACCCAGGACTGAGAGCCCTACTCTCCCTCCTTCCCCTGGAAGCTGGGCCGCCTTCTAAAGATCCCAGTACTGAAGTTCCTGCTGCACTCCGCCTCCTATCTGTGGTTCCTCATCTTCCTGCTGGGAGAGTCCCTGGTCATGGAGACACAGCTGAGCACCTTCCGTGGCCGCAGCCAGAGTGTCTGGGAGACCTCACTACACATGATTTGGGTCACAGGTATATGTGCAGGACCCTTTATTTGTGGCTGTCTCCCTTAGGGCCCCCCCCTTACTGTGCTTCCCAATAAGCACCCCACCAGGGGGATCCTGCTTTGTAGATGACCTCTGAACATATGGCCAGACCCTTCTGGGCTGCAGCACAGCACAGGACCCTTTCCCTTCAGCCCCAGTTGGGGACCTAACCCTGGGGTAGACTCCCTGAACAAGGACTCCTTCTTCCCCTTCCCTGGCATCAGCCATTACCCACCCTGGACGTTCCTATCCTCACACAAATAAGACCCTGGTCCACAATGTGAGGTGGGAAACTACCTTGTTGTCATGGCAGCCTGCAAGTACTGCTAGATAGGCTCTCCTGGAGGTCATTGGAGCAGAAAGGCTTATAGACCAAATGAAAGGACTCAAATCATATAGCAAATTAAATCCATAAGTGCTATAGTTATGATGGTGGTGTTATGAGGGCCAGAGGTGAGGTTTGAGTGTCTGGGGTTGGGGCGTGGTACAATGGACAGAAGGTGCTTGGAGCCAGGCATGGTGGCTCATGCCTGTAATCTCAGCTACTCAAGAGGCTAAGATGGGAGGATTGCTTGAGGCCAGAAGTTCAAGACCAGCCTGGACAACATAGAGAGACTCCATCCCTTAAAATAAGATTGGCTGGGCATGGTGGCTCACGCCTGTAATCCTAGCACTTTGGGAGGCCGAGGCAAGTGGATTACCTCAGCTCAGGAGTTCAAGACCAGTCTGGGCAACACGGTGAAACCCTGTCTCTACTAAAATACAAAAAATTAGGTGGGCATGGTGGTGTGCATCTGTAATCCCAGCTACTCAGGAGGTTGAGGCAGGAGAATTGCTTGAACCTGGGAGGTGGAGGTTGCAGTGAGCCAAGATCACGCCACTGCATTCCAGCCTGGGTGACAGAGCGAGACTCCATCTCCAAAAAATAAAATAAAAAATAATAATAATAAAAGAAGATACCTTGGCCCAAGACTTGATCTATGGGAAAAGCACAGTGACAAGTATGTTTGGCCAATTATCCTGATAAGCAGCTATAAATTTTATATGCATTATTTGGGCAGAGGAAATGTGTGAACAGAATGGCTGGTGCCCGTGGGTAGCTGATTTAAGATCTCCTGAATACTAAGGGCCTTGTCCTTCATGCATATTCAGTGCATCATGAATATTTAGAGTCTGTCCTTCTCTTTCTATGTATGTTCACACACATATGCTCTACTATTTGTTCAACATGTCACCAAAGTAACTAACCTATACTTAACACATAAGTTTCATCCATTCCATTGGTTTTCTTTTCTTCTACACCAGAATTGAGTATTCTCAAACAATTGAGCAAATGCAGTTTACAAGAATCCCCAGAGCTTTGGCCAGCCTCGGGCCATCAGCTTAGCAGGGGCGGAATTGGTGGTGCCGTCCTCAGCTGTCCTCCTCTCGTTTAGCTCTGCCTTGGTTAGTAAACTCCAGAGCCACAGTTTACCGAGTCTACTGCTCCACCCTGTACCAGGTCAGTCAGTGATGTCAGAAAGGAAATCTGGCCCAGAAACTTTAGGGAAAGAACATAAGAGCAGCCTGAGAGGGAAAGTTTCTCATCCTATTATTTACTAAACATTTATCGACCTAGGCTGAGTGGAGAGGAAACCAGTACAATCCCAACCCATGGGAGAAGTCTTAGAAACATATGAAACAGGCGGGTGCAGTGGTTCACGCCTGTAATTCCAGCACTTTGGTAGTCCGAGGCAGGCGGATCACAAGGTCAGGAGATAGAGACCATCCTGGCTAACACAGTGAAACCCTGTCTCTACTGAAAATACAAAAATTAGCCGGGAGTGGCGGTACGCGCCTGTAGTCCCGGCTACTCAGTAGGCTGAGGCAGGAGAATTGCTTGAACCTGTGAGGCGGAGGCTGCAGTGAGCTGAGATTGTGCCACTGCACTCCAGCCTGGTTCTGGGCACCAGGGACAGACATGAGTGGACATGGTCCCTGCCCTTGAGGGGCTCCAAGTTCAGAGGGAGGCAGGGTAGAGACAGACCTGTGGAGAGATATCCTGCAGTGCCCTGTGGCGATGGCATCACAGAGATATGAGCTGTGAGAACACAGAACCCCGAGAAATTCACTCTACCTGCTTAGGGAAGGCTGCTTGGAGGAGATAACACGTGACCTAGGCCACAAAAGTGAGCTGGGCTTCCAGAGGGTATGGAAGGGCATTCTAGGCAGAGGGAACAGTGAGTGGAAAAGCACATGATTGTATCCAGGGAATGAGAGGGGTGTAATGCGGCAGGGCCACCTGGCTAATGGGGGCCAGCTCCCAAGACCCCCAGCCCAGGTCTGGTTCTGGGCCTCACTGAAACACAGGCACCCTGAGCAGCCTGAGAATTTGGAGCCCCTTCAAGTCAATATTCTGTATTTTTTAATTTTTTTAAAAAAATTTTTAAAAATAAGTTAATAGAGATGGGGTTTCACCATGTTGCCCAGGCAGGTATCAAGCTCCTGGGCTCAAGCTGTCTTCCTACGTTGGCCTCCCAAAGTGCTGGGATTACAGGTGTGAGCCACTGCACCCAGCCTCAAATCAATATTCTGTTAGTCCAGTATTTACTTGGTAGAGGGCACAGAGAAACAAATTTCAGTGATTCCCTCCTTTTTTTTTTTTTTTTTTGAGACGCAGTTTCACTCTTGTTACCCAGGCTGGAGTGCAATGGCGCGATCTCGGCTCACCGCAACCTCCGCCTCCTGGGTTCAGGCAATTCTCCTGCCTCAGCCTCCTGAGTAGCTGGGATTACAGGCACGTGCCACCATGCCCAGCTAATGTTTTGTATTTTTAGTAGAGACGGGGTTTCACCATGTTGACCAGGATGGTCTCGATCTCTTGACCTCGTGATCCACCCGCCTTGGCCTCCCAAAGTGCTGGGATTACAGGCTTGAGCCACCAAGCCCGGCCATTCCCTCCTAATAAACAGCCTGCCCCCGGCAATACTCATTTTCTGAGTGTCCGCTGACTGAGCTCATTGGTGCAGGTCACACCAGCAATGTCTACATCAGGGAGGAGTCTTTTTTGTGTTCACAGAAGATGAATTGTTCCTGAGTAGATTACATGTTTACATGTCATTGACTTCACCCCATAATGTTTTAGCTCCCCACTGCCATTCATAGGATCCCCCTGCCTTGTAATCTAGCTCTGACATAGGAGGAAGAGTTCTGTCCTATCCTATCTTGGCTCCCTGCTACCCCGTTCAGGCTTCCTGTGGTTTGAGTGCAAGGAAGTGTGGATTGAGGGCCTGCGCAGTTACCTCCTGGACCGGTGGAACTTCCTGGATATGGTCATCCTGTCCCTGTACCTGGCAGCCTTCGCACTGCGCCTCCTCCTGGTTGGGCTTGCCCACGTGCACTGCCAGGAGGACTCCCAGGGGGCTGCCTGCCACTATTTCACCACAGCTGGTGAGTGTCCCCTAACTCAGCCCTGAATCCCCCAGTTCCTCTTCTTTCTTGGCTCTTGGCTCCCAGTCACAGCCCCCATTCCACCCCACACAGAACGCAGCGAGTGGCGCACCGAGGATCCCCAGTTTTTGGCTGAAGTGCTGTTCGCTGTTACCAGCATGCTCAGCTTCACCCGCCTGGCCTACATTCTGCCGGCCCACGAGTCGCTGGGCACTCTGCAGATTTCCATTGGCAAGATGATTGATGACATGATCCGGTATGTACTGGCCCTGCTCCGAGCTCGCTCCTCTCTGCAGACTCCCCTTGACCTCCTTCTAAAACTCCCCGGCTCTTGGGTGACACAGGAGTCCTTGACCTGCATTCCTCCAGAGGCATGGGCTCCAGAGACCTCTGACCCCCTGAAACCACAGGCAAAATTTGAAGATAAATGTGTATTTCTCTGCAGAGAGGGTCTACAACTTTCATCTTATTCTCAAAGAGGCCCATGATCCCAGAAAAGATGACAAACCATGGATAGCAGAAAGAGCCCTCAGTTGGGAGTTCCAATCCCAGTTCTGTCCATCTCCATGACCCCTCTGTAGGCCTCAGTTTTCCCATCATTAAGGAAAAAGCAAAGGCACTGGACTCAGGGGTCCCTTTGGATCCTTTCCACTCTGCAGCTGCTCTTTGAATCCCTGATCTTATCTGGTCTTCTTGGTGCTCATCACCTAATCATGGGCAGCCAAACCTGGCCTCTCACCTAATCAGGGGCCATAGTTAATGCCCATCTCCCTGGGAATCCCCAGCCTGAGGTGGGACTACAGTGAGTGTCATCAGTGGGAAAAATCTTAGCTACATCTACTAATATTAAGCTCAGCTTAGCTTGGGGGGAGAAACTCCAGCCCCACCCCAGGATTCTTCTAGCTTCCCTGCAGCAGGCTCATTCTCACATGTGGCTCTGATTCTTCTGGTGATAACTCCTGTTCAGTGGGATTCTGACTCCCAGTTGTCCCTGTGCCATTCCTGTATAATCTCAGCATCTCATTCCCTCCCTGGGAGACCACTCCATCCTCAGCTTTGACTGCTTGGACTCAGTACCCATTATTCTTAAAAGGAGAGCTTCCACTTGGCATTCACTTTATTTATTTTATATATATATGTGAATATATTTGAAACAAGGTCTCATTCTGTCACCCAGGCTGAAGTGCAGTGGTACCATCTCAGCTCACTGCAGCCTCGTCCTCCTGGGCTCAAGCAATCCTCTCACCTCAGCCTCCTGGGTAGCTGGGACTACAGGTGTGCACCACCATACCTGGCTAATTTATTGTATTTTTTGTAGAGACAGGGTTTGGCCTCCCAAAGTGCTGGGATTATAGCACCTCAGCCATTTGAGTAGCTGGGACCACAAGCATGCACCACACAAAAATACAAATTTTTGTATTTTTTTTGTAGAGACAGAGTTTCACCATGTTGAATACTTGCTCAACAACAATTCAATTTGGTTATTTATTTAACCAAAATAAATAACCTGGTCTTGAACTCCTGGGCTCAAGTGATTTGCCCACTTTGGCCTCCCAAAGTGCTGGGATTACAGTCGTGAGCCACTGCACCCAGCCCAGCACTCACTTTAAATCCCTCTTGGCTGGGCACAGTGGCTCACGCCTGTAATCCCAGCACTTTGGGAGGCTGAGGCAGGTGGATCACAAAGTCAGGAGTTCGAGACCAGCCTGACCAACATGGTGAAACCCTGTCTCTACTAAAAATACAAATTAGCTGGACGTGGTGGCATATGCCTATAATCTCAGCTACTCGAGAGGCTGAGGCAGTAGAATCACTTGAACCTGGGAGGTGATGGTTGCAGTTGAGCTCAGATCACACCACTGCACTCCAGCCTGGGTTAGTCTCTATCTCAAACAAACAAAAAAAAACCCCTCTCATTTTTCACCCCCTAATTTATCTATTCTTAATAATAACCAAATTGGGCTGGGTGAGGTGGCTTACACCTGTAATTCTAGCACTTCCAGAGGCCAAGGTTGGGGGGTCACTTGAGGTCAGGAGTTCTAGACCAGCCTGGCCAACATGGTGAAACCCCCATCTCTACTAAAAGTATAAGAATTAGCCAGGTGTGGTGGCACATGCCTGTAGTCCCAACTACTTGAGAGGCTGAGGCAGGAGAACCCCTTGAAACTGAGATGAGGAGGTTGCAGTTAGCCAAGATGGCGCCACAGCACTCTAGCCTGGGTGACAAAATGAGACTCCATCTCAAAAATAAATAAATAACCAGGCTGGGCACAGTGGCTCACACCTGTAATCCTAGCACTTTTGGAGGCCAAGGCAGGTAGATTGCCTGAGTTCACGAGTTCAAGACCAGCATGGGCAACATGGTGAAACCCCATCTCTACTAAAATACAAAAAATTAGTGGGGTGTGGCGGTGTGCACCTGTAATCTCAGCTACTCGAGAGGCTGAAACAGGAGAATCACTTGAACCTGGGAGGCAGAGGTTGTGTGAGCTGAGATCATGCCACTGCACTCCAGCCTGGGCAACAGAGTGAGACTCCTTCTCAAAAATAAAAATAAAAATAAATAACCAGATTGAATACTTGTTGAGCAGAGAGCCAGGAAGCCTTCATCCCTCTTCCTGGAGCCTGACTTCTCTCAAGGTGGAAACCTTCTCTGATCCCTTCACATCCCACCCCCTGCCAGGTTTATGTTCATCCTCATGATCATCCTGACTGCCTTCCTCTGTGGCCTCAACAATATCTATGTGCCCTACCAGGAGACAGAGCGGCTGGGCAAGTATGCAGGGGCAGAGGCAGGATGGGAGGTGGAGAGCCTGGGACCTTGCAGCTTGGAGCCCTAGTGATCTCTCCTTTGTCCCTCCCTCCCTCATTTATTCACTCAGTGAATTCTCTTGTTTGCTCATTCCCTCTTTGATTCACTGTCACTCATTCATTTGTTCATTTATACATTCATTTTCTGATTTTCTCTCCAAACTTTTTATTTTGAAAAATGTCAATTCTATGAAAAGTAGATGCCCCTACACCCTTCACCTAGCTTCACCAATTGTTAACCTTTTACCACACTTGCTTGATCTATTGCTCCCTTTATTCCTTTTTTTCCTGAAATACTTAAAAGGAAGTTGTGACTATCATGACACTTCATCCCTAAACAGTTCAGGATGTCTCCTAAGAACATAACCACAAAAGCATTATCACACTCAAAAAATTTAACACCCAAAATGCCTAGATTGGTCTCCAACTCTTGGGCTCAAGCAATCTGCCCACCTCAGCCTCCCAAAATGCTAGGATTACAGGTGTGAGCCACCACACCCTGCCACAATTTAAAATTGTTGGTATAAGCAGTGTCCATCCCATCCTGGCCCCGCCCCAGAACATAAGGCCATGAAGACAGGAACATGCTTGTCTTGTCCACTGACGTATCCTTAGCACCTGTGACACTACTGTGCACTCAGTAAATACTGGTGCAAAGGATAACATTTGGAGCTCAGAAACAGCAAGTATCTATACCAGCTGAGGTGGTCCAAAGGGCTGCATAGAAGTGGGCGCTCTTGGCCAGGTCCTGGGGGGTAGAAGGGAGTGTGTCTGGGTGAGCTCAGGCTCTTCTCCCACCCCTCATTTCCTGTTCCTTACTTGGCCCAATATGCCAGTTTCAATGAGACGTTCCAGTTTCTGTTCTGGACCATGTTCGGCATGGAGGAGCACAGCGTGGTGGACATGCCTCAGTTTCTGGTGCCCGAATTTGTGGGCCGGGCCCTCTATGGCATCTTCACCATCGTCATGGTCATTGTGCTGCTCAACATGCTCATTGCTATGATCACCAACTCCTTCCAGAAGATTGAGGTGCGTAAATGGAGGCCAATTTAGGCCAGGGAGAAGGGAGAAAGGAATGGAGAGGAACAGGATGCAAAGAGGCAAGACATTGATGTCATGCTCTGCCTCCACTGCTGTCGTTTGTGGCTTTAGACAAGTGTTCCTCTGTAAAATGAGGGTCTTAGTGATGCTGACTCCAGACACCAAGTCTAGTGCTCATTCCCCATTAGGGTTGGGCAGAGGAGTGGTATAGAAAAGTAAACGGGAACATGAGAGGGAGACGATAGGTTAGGGTCTGCAGGCTGGAGAACAGGCTGGGCAGGAACTGGATGTCAGAAAGATGAAAGACAGTGGTGGGGAGACAGGAAGTGGGGGACAGGCCAGAGAAATGCGGGTGATAGGGGAGGTTGGAGATAAGACTGGGGAGAAGAAAGAGCCTGGCACACTACACTGGAGAATCAAAACTGTGAGGACTGGAGAAAAGAGAGGCAGATTGAGTGGGCAGGAGGGTCATGTGCCAAAGGGGTCCTTGCACCGCCCCCTGCTGCCCGGCCCCCAGGATGATGCTGATGTGGAGTGGAAGTTCGCGCGCTCCAAGCTCTATCTGTCCTACTTCCGAGAGGGCCTGACGCTGCCTGTGCCTTTCAACATCCTGCCCTCCCCGAAGGCTATCTTCTACCTTCTCAGGTGCTGACCTCAGAGCTCCCACTCCCACCCCCAAGTCCCCAGGCCCTGCCCCCATTTCCCTAGGTCCTGTCCTCTAACCGACCTCTTCCCACCATTGAAATCTCTCAGGATAATTTGCCAGTTCGTTTGCTGTTGCTGTTCCTGCTGCAACACCAAGAAGCCAGACAATCCCCCCATCCCTACCTTTGTGAGTACCTACTCAGCCTGTTGCTGGTCACCCTGGCATCAGGCCTTCAACTCTATGTCTATACCATCAATTTGTCTGCATATCCCAGGCTTATCTATGTTTCCAGGTATGTTCTCCAGAAAGCCTGTCCCAATTCCTACTCTCGCACATGGCTTCCCTTTCCCTCTTCCTGGCTCTGGCCATTTCCTAAATTTCCAACCCTGTGTCATGCAGCCTAAACAGAAGTCCTTGCCACCCTCCTCCCAAGCTAGAAATACCCACTAAGCTCCAGACAGACCTTTTTTGTCCTAAACTGCTCCAAGACAGAGTTGGACATTTTTCAAAAACACATGTTAAGAAAGTAACATGTCCCACAGGTAAATGTCCCACAAACTGAGCAGTTAGACAGCTGACAGTGGCCTAAGAGAGGAGGCCAGGAGGCCAGACATCCAAGGAGCTCACTTGCCCCTCGAGGTCTACTCTCCAGCCCCGTCTGGCCTGGCATGAGGGTGCCTTCCTAATTCAGGCACTGCAGGTCTGTAGGGGGTTCTCCCCTCCTCCTCATCGGCCTCCCAGCCCTCACCCATCCCTTCCTGGTTCTCTCACCATCAGCCCTTCCCCAGCTTCTGGCCCCTGTCCTTCTACCTTCCAGGTCTGCACTGTGAGATGGAGGCCAGGGGCTAGGCGGGTCAGGGACAGAAAAGTCTACATGGAAGACTTTGCCCTGGGCCTTTTTTGCCCAGGGCTGGAGAGGCACGGACAGTGATCAGAAGAAGGCTGGAGAGAATCTCTCTCACCCTCCTGTCTTCCGATTCCAGGCCAATCCCGGGGCAGGGGCCATGCCTGGGGAGGGAGAGCGTGGATCCTACCACCTTCGCGTCATCAAGGCCCTGGTACAACGCTACATAGAGACTGCCCGGCGCGAGTTTGAGGAGACCCGGCGGAAAGGTGCGTCACCCTCCTCTAAGCTCTCCCCATTCCTGTTCCTTCCTCAGCTGGGACAAAGGCCCCATACCAGAGTCAGGTCCGCATTCAGCCTGCATAATATGTGGCCCCATCCTGCCCTGCCCTTGGAAGGGCAGCCTGCACAGAATGGCCCCTTGCACTCCATTACCCTCTGACCCATTCGGCATTGATTCCACTCATTTCATTTAAGTGCTCCTTCCTGCCTTCGTGTGTGTTCAGTTATTCTCCCATTCAGTCCCTTACCCAGTCACTCATTCACCTCCTTCATTCACTCACTCATTTACTGACTCATACCACCAACATTCATCACTTCGGCCTCCTTCGTTCCAGGCCCTGTCTTGGAGGGACAAATGGGGCACTGTAGAGCAGGGACACATGGGAAGCTTTCAGTCTAGTGAGGAAGAGAAACCGTCACACTGGGCATGAAGTGCAGCTAAGAGAGACGCGAATTGCTACGGGCACCCGAAGGAAGAAGGAGCTTGTCATTTTGAGAGGCAGGAGGAGAGAGTAGCAGAATAGATAAAGGGGCCGGGATCCGAACGGGGCCCTGAAGAATGGGTGTGAGCTGGCTGGCCGTGACTGGGGAGAGGGCAGGCGGGTGGACGCAGGAGTCTCTACCCAGTAACAGCTTTCCCCATGGCTCGTCACCCTTCTGTGGCCCCCCGACTTTCCTTCTTTCCAGCTCCTCGCTCCCACCCCCACTAGGATTCACCTGCCCCAGCTTCTCCCACCCATCTGACCCCTAGCCCACAAGCCTGATCTTCACTTCTTCCAGTTCTCCCTCAGAAACCCCTAGGACAACCCCTGGGGTTCTGTAAAGGGTAAAAGGGGTACAGGGCAGGCTCATCCTCTGAAATGCCCCTCGGTACTCCACCTCCTCCAGACCTGGGCAACAGACTCACAGAACTGATGAAGACCGTATCTCGACTACAGAGCGAGGTAGCCGGTGTGAGGCGGACTCTGGCAGAGGGAGGAACACCCCGGCCTCCCGACGGTGCCAGTGTCCTCAGTCGCTATATCACCCGAGTGCGCAACAGTTTCCAAAACCTGGGGCCCCCCATTCCTGAGACCCCAGAGCTGACAGGGCCCAGGATTGTGGGGACCCAGGAATCATCAGGAACCAGGCTTCAGGACACTGGAGAGGTGAGGACTCTGGCTTCTAGAGAGTCTGGCCCCAGCTCCCCAGCTCATGTGCTAGTGCACAGGCAGCAGGAAACAGAGGGGGCTGAGGACCTGCCCCACGCAGATAATTCAGGGATGGAGGGGAGGATCTGATACAGCGGAAGGGTCCCTTCTGTTGCTGAGGGCAGTAGCCTAGGAGGGTGAGGGTGGGGGCCCCTTGGGAGGAGGCCGTGCTGCTTTCCTTGCTTCAATAAAGTTTCTGTTCTGGATGTGCGAGGCCTCTGGGCTGTGTGAGAATCTCTGTCTCTTGATGTTTTGAGGTCCTCCTGCTTCTTTCCCCTGAAAAGGACCCTTGTGGGAACAGGGCAGAGAAATGTGCTCTTGGGCTTAGGATCCTACTTTGAGCTTTCTCAGATCTTTCATGGACCAGGATCTCTGGACCAGGAGGCAGGAGGCCGGGGAAGCAGGAGGCCGGGGTTCAATGGGAACCCTCTGACCAATTGCTTCCTTCCTTGGCTGTGTATTCCTCACCTGACAAGTGGGGCTGAGGAATCACCTGCCTGCTTTCCTGCTTCCATGGTTGTCATGAGGACCCTCTAGCTGTTTAAGCTTCTGGATCTGCAAGTTAGAGTGTGTGACATGGGTCTGCAGAGGAGACCGTGTCTACAAGTGACCAAGAAGTGAGTTTTTTTAGTCCCTCAGTCAGTCCCTCAGCCTAGCAAGGCCAGAGTGAAGCAGTCTCAAAGAAGAAGCCAATCATAAAATTCCATGTCTCCACACTGCAATACTGTTTAATCAAGTGGCTGCCTCATAAAACTCCATGTCTCCACACTGCAACACCGCTTAAGCAAGTGGCTGCCTCAGTACTTCCCTTGCTTATCCCAGGAAGTCCCCACCACATAGCAGAGTTCCCTCAGCCCTGCCGTGGCCTCCCCAGCCCCACATCCTGGTTGGGGAGAAGGCTGCTAGGACGGGGTCCGGAACCATGTTCTTGCTTCTACAGGCTGCTGGAGGCGCCTCTTCTTCATATGAAAGTCACCTGTTCCCAGGGCTCCTAAGTGGCAGGTTTTGCACTTTCAGGGCCCAACCCCTGAGAGCTGGAACTCCCCAGGGACCAAAGGCAGGGTCTTCCAGGGAGGCAGAGAGAAGGCCCCCTCAGATTGTGACTCTGGCTGCACCGCTGCTGGAGGGAGAAGAGGAAGGGTTCGGCAGGGCGAGCGGGAGTCAAAGCAGCTGAGGGAGGATGGAAGAGCAACTCACCTGGTGCAGACACACAGCCCCGCCTCTTCTCCCCTGCAACAGACAGCAGGGTGAGGCCTCCGTGCTGGCAGACTCACACCCAAACTACCTGGCCCTTGCAGGGCCATTTTCCCTCTCAATCTACCTTTCCCTTCACCTAAAGGTAAACTTGTGACTTCCCTTCCTCCTCCTTCCTCCAGGAAGTCTTTCCAGATTGACTTTCCATCTCTCTTCCCACCCAAGACCCAGCCACTCCTCCATCTGTCCCGGCCTCAGCACTTGGGAATGGCACGTAAGTCCCCTGTCAGCCCCATCAAGCCCAGGGCCTCCTGAGATCTGAAGCAGTCCCCTGGCTCTTTCTGCTGCTTGCTAATCTCCTTAACCAGGTTCTTTTGGTCTATTAGACTGTAGCAGATGGACCCTTTTGAGAACATACAGAATCATCTGAGACTATTCACAAATCTGGAAAACACTTTATAGGACCCAAAAAACTTGCGTCACAGAGGACAGTAACTCCAGCTGACTTCCAGCCCTCAATTCCCCTTTCACCAAGTGGGTCTCCCAAAGGCCCCAAGGATTATTGTGAAGGGACGTCCTGGCTTATTTCACCCACCCTGCCGGTCCTGCTTCCCCCATGCACAGCTCACCACCCAGATAGGCGCAGTTAAAGTGGCTACAGGTCTGATTATAGCTCCAGAGAGTCACCAGGCTCTGGGCTCCATCCTGGGAGAATCTGGTGACCAAGAAGACTTCATGCGGGGGAATCAACACCTCACGCTCCTTGGGAAAGACAGACAAGGCCTGGATAGGGGCCCCAAAGCAAGTCATTAGAGAGAAGAGGGTGGCATTACCGAATCTGCGGGCCACTGCCTTATCCAGGGAGCTGGAGGCAAACTGGCCTAAGCGGACAGAGTCCCCCAGCCTCTTGGGTTCAAAGCGAAGGCTGCCCACACCTCGGAACACCACCTCCCCAGGCCCCCTGCTGCAGCCCCCATCGCCTCGAAGCAGCTGCAGAGCCCGGATCAGGTAGAAATGCAGGGCCTTGAAGGGAAAGTGCCTCATGTAGAGCTCCCGGGAGCCTCCGCCGGTCCGCACGGCCTGATTCAACTCCCAGTACAAGGTGTTAGATGAGTTGGTGTAGACCATAATGGCTATTCCATGATGGGCTTTGAAGCCGGGAGGCAAGGTGAGCCCTCGTTGCCTGTGCTCCCAGGCTGCCTGGGCTGCCTCCCAGGATTCCCGCAGCAGGGCATGGTGGGCCATTTCCTCCTTCAGCAAGGGAGCTGCCTCCTTCTCCATCTCCTCTGCACAACCCACATAGGCATCGTCAAAGGTGTCTGGAGCCAGGCCCAGGGGCAGGATGGGAACAGCCTGGGCCTGTGTAGGAAGGAAGAGAGGTGCCACACAGAAAAAAGCATGAGTTCAGAGCACTGGACAGGGGTACTGGTGACAGACCCATCCAGAAACACAGAATCTCATTTCTATCCCCAAATATTGGTGTATGCAATTTGGCAAGGTCCCAAAAAAGGCTTAAATAACACAGGCACCGAAGTCAAACAGACATTGGCTAAAATCTTTTTTTTTTTTTTGAGAGAGAGAGTCTTGCTCTGTCGCCAAGGCTGGAATGCAGTGGTGAGATCTCTGCTCACTCCAGCCTCAGCCTCCCAAGTTGGACTTATTCTCCCGCCTCAGCCTTCCAAGTAACTGGGATTACCTGTGCATACCACCATGCCTGGCTAATTTTTTTTTTTTTTTTTTGAGATGAAGTCTCAGTCTGTTGCCCAGGCTGGAGTGAAAAGGCACGATCTCAGCTCACTGCAACCTCTGCTTACTGGGTTCAAGTGATTCTCCTGTCTCAGCCTCCCAAGTAGCTGGGATTACAGGCACATGCTGCCACACCCAGCTACTTTTCTGTATATTTAGTAGAGACAGAGTTTCACCATGTTGGCCAGACTGGTCTTGAACTTCTGACCTCAAGTGATCCACCAACCTCAGTCTCCCAAAGTGCTGGGATTACAGGCATGAGCCACTGTGCCGGCCTAATTTTTGTATTTTTAGTAGAAATGGTGTTTCACCATTTTGGCCAGGCTGGCCTCAAACTCCTGACCTCAAGTGATCCTCCCACCTCAGTCTCCCAAAGTGCTGGGATTACAGGCGTGAACCACTGCGCCTAGCCTGAAATCTTGACTTTACCACCTATTCGCTGTGAGGTCTTGGGCAAGTGTTATAACTTTTCTGAACTTGAGGATACTTCCAGGCTCACAGTTATTATGAAGAAAGCATAAAAAGCTTCACTTCTGTACAACCTAAAAGGGGTCATCCTGTCATTACAAAGGTTCCTGCAGTCGGTGGGAGGTGGGAGGTGAGACTAGATGACTGCCAAGCACTTTTCTGGCTGTAAGATCTGGCACACAGGCGATCTGCAAATATTACACACAGCCAGTGTCCAGCTACCTGACCCTCAGCCGCATTCTCCTCAGGCTCTCTTTCCCGCTCACCCTGAAGGAGGCGCTTGCAGGTGCTCAGCCACCACACCAAATCGCTGTCAGCTCTGTGACACCTGAGTCCTCCCCTGCTCTATACCCACATTTGGGGTAGGGAAGGTGGGGAGGCCAAGCCTTGGTCAGGAGAAGCTGCCAGGGCTGAAGCACACAGGTAGCCCAAGAAGGCTTGCCCGGGCTGTGCCTGCGCTGGGAGATGAGAGGTGGGGAGGAGAATGTTGGAGGCATCCAGAGAGGGATGGAGGCGGGGGTGCCAGGAGACAGAATGGGAACCTGGAGCTTCCTGCAGAGATGTTGGTTTCTGAGAGGCAGAGAGTTAACAGTGGAATCCTAGGGAAGAGTCCCTTGGAGAGGGTTGTGAGGAGTCAGCCCCCAGTCCAATTCCTCAAGGTCTGTCCCGCAATGTCCCCCATGGGGGCAGGAAATGGTTGCTGGAGTTACCTGCCAGAAGGCGTGGAGGCCGAGGCAGCCCAGGGCGATCAGCAGACCCGCCAGCGCCATCCCTAGGGGAGAGGTGAGGGCCAGGTCCGAGTGAGGGCGGGACCACCGGCGCTGGAGTCCTGGCTTCGAGGGGCTCCAGGCTCGCGGGGTCCCTGGTCCAGGACTGGGGCCCCGGCGGGTCGTGACCTCTCAGCTGGCGGGATCCCCGCAGGGCCCCCTGGCCTGTTGGTCTGGGGGCCAGAGGACGGCCCGGTAGGGCCCACCTGAGGGAGAAGCCCAGTCTCACAAGTTCCCTCCCGCTCGCTCACAGCCAGAGGGTCCCGTAGAAAGACCTCGCCGTCCTTGGGAAGGGGAGTTGGGGGTCTCGGAGAGGGTCTCGGAGATTACTGTTCCCCCGCCCCGCGTCTTCGCTCCCAACTCGCGAAGCCCCTTCCTCAGAGCCTCGCGTCCAGGACCTTTCTGAGACGGTAAAGGCGGGGCCGCAGTTTGTCTCCGCCCGAGAGGGGAGGGCCGGGGGCCGAGCACCCACCTGCGGGTTGCGGAGGCCGCGAGCCGGAGGGAGCCCCAAGGGCTCGGGCGGGCGCTGTGCAGTCCCAGGGTCCGGCTGAAAGCGAGGTTCCCGGGGCTAATTATAGCCCCCGCGCGGTAACCGGACACCCCGTTGCCGCGCCGCACGCGGGGGAGGGGGCGGGGTCGGCGGGGCGGGGGCTGAGGCCAACTCCCCTTCCCAAGGACGGCGAGGTCTTTCTGCGGGACCCTCTGGCTGTGAGCGAGCGGGAGGGAACTTGTGAGACTGGGCTTCTCCCTCAGGTGGGCACTACCGGGCCGTCCTCTGGCCCCCAGACCAACAGGCCAGGGGGCCCCGCGGGGATCCCGCCAGCTGAGAGGTCACCCTTCGAGCACTCGTATTTGCATACAGTTTGCATATGGCCCACACCCTGGGCCACGTGCTCCAGCATCTGAGCAGCGCCCACTCCCTCCCTGCTCTGCGCCCTCTCCCCCTTCGCCTTCAGGGGCATTCAGAACCCTTGGTCGCTGATCCACCGGGTCCAGGCTCGCCCCTCCCCCAGACCGCTCAGACTCCGGTAACCCATGTTTGTAAACACTGGCCTTTCCCCCACCTCCTCTGGGCTTATCTATAAATAACCTGGTCTGAGAGTTGGATGCCCAGTCAGAGGTCATGGAAGAAGGGGCCAGCAGAGGAACTGGTTGCTCAGGGAATAGCTTCCTAGCAGCCTGAGCCAGGAGGAGCGGGGATGTCACCCCTCCTCCCGCCAGCGGCCTTGGACTTGAGGAGTTGAGAGCTGCTAGAGCTACCCAAAGGACTCCATCCTGGTCTGGCTCATTAGTTTCCCCCATCCCTGTCCCCTCGTCCCCTCAGATTGTCTGCCAAATAAAAAGTTTCTACCACCTAGAATCCTGCTGTCTCCCAAAATCCTTTCTGTAGACCAAACAGAAAGACAAACTGTTGGTCCAGGCTTGGAGGAGGGTGGGAAGGGAGGTGCTCCTGAGTGCTTGTTAGAAAAACGGCTCCAGGACAAGTTCTTTTGCCCCCTTCTTTGAGTCTAGCCATCCCAAAGCCCTCCGAGATTCTAAAATCAGGAATCACCCTACTGTTTACCAATATGGTGGAAAACAGCATTTGCCTGCGTATCCTGCCTGCTTATCCTTCCTCTCTCTGGAGGAAGCTGAGTGTTTGCAGTTGCTTGAAGAGAAGATACCACCTGGAGTCAGCTTGGCCTCCTGAGACAGCCCCTGAGACCAGATCTTCGGGGATCACTGCTTTGTCCCTCTCCACCCTCTGGCTTTGAGGAATTCCTTCTCCCATGCCAGAACACAAAATAAGGTCCCAAGAGATGGACTCAAGTCTAGTCATTGGGCGGGGATCCTAAGTGTTGGCAGAAAGTCCTCCAAGATCACCTGGCAAGTCAGGACTGGAGCTGGGACCCAGAACCCAGCCTCCTTAGTCCCAATTGCTCCTGGCACCTTAGTTAAGTCTCAGTGTTCACATGAAAGGAACATCATCTAAGCAGATGCTTGCTCTCTGAGGCCGGGGCTCTGAAGCTTCCTCTTCTCTTCCTCCTCCCTGGCTGACCAGAGTGCAGGACCACAGCCAGTGAGGAGGCAGTTGTACCAGCCTGGGTCCCCAGTGCTTCAGCCTACCTCCTCTCTGGGATTCCTTTTTTTTTTTTTTTTTTTTTGGTGGGAGGAACACTGGGCAGGTCAAACTAGGAAGAGGCTGGTGTTCCTGAGTCCAGAGGAGACATCCAGAAATAGATGGGGGAGTGTCGCCTTTCTGAGCAGTTGTGTGGGGGAGGTGCAAGGGGTGGGGATTGACAACATAAAAAAAAAAACCGTCCTCTCCTCTCCTGGTGCCCATGGTGGAGACCAGCAGCAGCTTCCCCACCCAGGACAAGGCTTAGGTAAGGAGCACACCATTCTCCTCCTGGGTGCAGGGCAGGAAACGTGGTTTTGAGGTGAAGTTTGGGAGACGAATGTCGGAATTTTAGAAGTCGTGAGAAAGTTTCCAGGAAACTTTGATGAAGAAGTTTGGGATACCTAGGAAGATGGGGGACCATGGGAAGTGTGGGACTCCTGGGGAGAGATTTGAGGTCACATTCCCAGGAGAGGATGTTCAGCAAGGGCCTTGATGAGGAACTGGCAAAAGAATTGCCCTGAGTGGGATGAGGAGGACAGAAAGCCAGCTCCCTTGGGCTAGGAAAGCAATTGCTCAGCGTCCCCGGCTCCTTGGGCCCATACCCACCCCATCCTTCCAGCTCCTGCCACATCTCCCCTGACACTGGTCTCCAAGGCCAGCCACCCACCTGCTCTGCGGCGGTCTACACTGTTAGCTGTGCTGAGAAAGCTCCTCAGACTCTCAACAAACATGCTGGGGGCATCACCTGTGCCTGGCTTTGGCATACATGGTCCCTGCCCTCAAGGAACTCACGGGCCAGGAGAGGAGCCAGGCACACATAAGGGCAGCACAGTGTGATAAGGACAGTGACAGAGGACAGCACAGGGTGATATGGGAGTTCAGAGGAGTCAGGGGGCTTCCTGGAGGTGACCCCCAGGCTAGGTCTTGAAGAGTGGGTAGCCAGAAGAAATGTCCCAAGGAGAGGGGCGATGTGTGCAGAGCCACAGGGAGAGGAACCACGGAGCCCCACCTGGGACTTTGCTCTGCACTACAGAAGCCAAGCAGGAGTGGTGCGTGCGGGGCTGCAGAGGGCATAGAGGGTCAGGATGAGGATGCTGGCCTCTGTCCTGAGGGTATGGAGGGATGTTTTGTTTATTTGCTTTTTTTTCCTAGACGTATTCTTTTTTTTTTTTTTTTTTTTTTGAGACGGAGTTTTGCTCTGTCACCAGGCTAGACTGCAGTAGCACAGTCTTGGCTCACTGCAACCGCCACCTCCTGGATTCAAACGATTCTTCTGCCTCAGCCTCCCGAGTAGCTGAGACCACAGGCACGTGCCACCACGACCGGCTAATTTTTTTTGTTTTTTGTTTTTTTTTTAAGATGAGGTTTCACCATGACGGCCAGGCTGGTCTTGAACTCCTGACCTTGGGTGATCCACCCACCTTGGCCTCCCAAAGTGCTAGGATTACAGGTGTGAGCCACTGCGCCCGGCCTTTTTTTGTATTTTTAGTAGAGATGGGGTTTCACCATGTTGGCCAGGATGGCCTTGATCTCTTGACTTCGTGATCCACCTAACTCGGCCTCCTAAAGTGCTGGGATTACAGGTGTGAGCCACCTCGCCTGCCCCTTAGATATATTCTTA